TAGCCTGAACCTTTACCTAGCCATTGCACTTCACGAATTTTAAAAATCTTGACTACGAGCTAGGTGGCAGCCGGGTGAACGAATATGTGCGCTTAAAGGGTCAATCACTGTATCCTCTACCCTATTTATTTTATTTTCTGTGATGTTGGCTGTAAGAATTGTGATATATTTGTATAGAATGAATTTGTTAAGTGTAAGTAGACTTAAGAGCACCTTACAATTAAGACAGTGATCTCATCCAATTTTATCCATTGAAAACAAAATGTTTTTCGATATAAAAACACATTTATTGTGTCCTCTCATTATAGTTGCATTGTTGTTAATGTATGACAAAAACAATACAATTAAGTATGCACACTGAGAATGACAAGTGCTTGCTATCCTATTCCATCACACACATAAACCAAACAAAGTCACAAAGTCACAAAAATGCTTCAACAGTATAAAAATGTTTCCTAGGCTAAGAGTTCACAACTTCACTTTATTATGTTTTTTAAATGTACTTCAGACAGACAGACCGTCAGATGGAGATAGACAGTATTAAAAGTCATTTTCTAGAAAAAAAAATTGAAAAAAAGGCCACGGTTAAAGGCCAAAATAAATTAAACTTTATTTTTAAAATTACACATTTGACTGCATTAATGACTAGAAAATCATTGAAAAAATCTACTCCAAACTCTTTTGATACACAGCCTAAATCATGAAAAATCAACACAGTGAAGTTATTAAAGCCTGAGTCAGAGAATGTAATAATTATACATTTATGAAAACACTAAAGCTAAACAGTACAAATGAATCAAAATGAGTGACTAGGTGATATAAAGTAAAATCAAATTGGCATTATTTTACATCTAGGTAGTAACTTAGAACAACCAAAAGATCCTTCAATGCAAGAAACTTTTTTTAAGATTGCTACCTGAACTTTGTCTTTGACGGAAAACAATGGTCTTTACGTGTTGAAGTAAATATACTAACCATACATAACTAAGACTTAACAAAGAACTAGGGGAAAAAATGAGATCACTTTAATTTCATGAAAACCACAAATAAAATTAAAATTGGTGAGCAAAGGCTCTGGGCAAAATGTTACCTGACATAATATCAAATGCTGTTGTACTTCTTTAACACAAGTTAACAGATTTTTCTTGTGTTACAATATTTTTTGGTGGAACATGGTTTTACCACAGAAAACGTTGAGGTTCCTCCATATCGGACCACTTAATTGTTTTTAGGGAAAAAATCAAAATAGTTGATGCATTTACAAGAACATATAATCCCATTTCAGAAAGAAGTTGCCAGATTTCAGGTTTTAATACCTGAAGTCTCAGTAACATGTATGGAATAATGAAATATCTGAATTCAAGTAAAGACTGAGGAACTAAGCTTGCTAATAAACAAAACATAAATCCAATCTGGAATACAAAATCAGTTCGTTTCAAAATGCTTGCAATTAAAAAGCATCCCATCATATAAATTGGAGTAATCATGTAACGTGACCACCATTCACGATTTATGATGCGTCTCCATACATAAAACGTGTAGTGTCGGTTATCAGCCAGTAGGTAAGGGTGGGCAATAGTATTAAAGTGGACAATCGCAATAATTACCAGCATACCTATTGCAGCAGGGACAATTCTACGACGCAATGAATGATGCAGACTGAAGGCATATGGGATTGCAAAGGGTAACATGAAGAAAAAGACAAATGAAGCAAAGTATAAAACTTGAGTTAAATGTAGAGAAGCTTGATGAGCTTGCTTGTCACCAACAACTATACTGCCATTCCATAAGACAAATACAATGAATGTTGCACCCACTAGAAAATAACCTGTTAGTTTCCTGACCATATTCATCGCAAGAACTTTTCCAGCTGAGCTATTGACAAGGGCAACTTGACAACTGTTCATCCAAAGGATCTGTAAGGTAAAAGCAAATATTTACTAATGTTCTAAATTATGAGGGTAAAATAAATAAATAAATAAGTAAATAGTAAGATTGGTACTAACTTCCAAATATTTGTAGCTCCTCACCACTGGAACAGTGAACTTTTTTTTGTTGATGTAGGCATTTTCTTTGAGGATATCCGCAAATGTGAGAAGACCAAAAAACAAAACCCAAACTATGTTGGTTTGTCGGACACAAACAGCAAGAAATCCTAGAAAAATGTACAGTAAAGTAAGAATGATTTCCTAAAGCAATTACAATTACAACATTTAAATCATGTTTTACCAGTGAAAGCTGACAATGCATGACGCTCATGAAGGGTCAGCAAATAAGCAAAGAGAATAAGGAATGTTGACATGACATCAGTGTAGTATAGGAAATTGAAGAAGTATAAAACTGGAAATATACACATATTCACTGCTGTCAGTAGTCCACGTACAACATCCAATTCTTCCTACAACACAATTCAAGAAAGAAACAATTTTGGTTTAATGTTTATATGAAATAGAATAGGTAAAGAATAAAAACGGGAGTCTATGTTGCTGAGAGTACCTTGTGACCATGTATCTGTCGAAGGAGGCTGTACACAACATATAGCAGGCCTGTGCTTAAAATCATGTTGACACTACGCAATGCATACACAGATGAGCAGACTTCTGGTTTTGATAAAAACCATGAAATAGGCTTCAAAAAGCCAACAGTCAGGAAATACAAGCCAGGAAGAGTTGTGATTTTAGGGTCCCACTGTTAATACAGAAACCACATACATGAATGATAAGCATATGTGTACTTCAGAAGAAGCCCAAAGAGGCAAAATTCATATGATACCGGTTTGAAGCAGAAAAAAAACATCAATAAACTAACCTCTGTGAAATTTCCATCACAATACCTTCGTGCCTGAGGAATGTGGAAAACCTCATCCAGGTATGGGTTTGGTTGGGTTTTGTACAAAAATTCGAAGATTGTACATGTCACACCAAAATAGCTACTGCTGACTAGAAGAAACGCCGCAAACAGCCACATCGCAAGACCCGGTACAAGCCAACAGTCTTTCTTGCAGGTACCTGCTAGTCTGGCCGACAAGTTTGAAGCTCTTGATTGCTTCGATAACCCTCGAGCGGACGACATTGCTAAAGAGCATTAAATACAATTTTGGGAACGTAACAAGCTAGTAAAGAGTGTTGATTTTCGTCGTCCACAACCAAAGAGAGTCGGCTGCTGTCCTGCCTGACCCGAGTCCAAAACAAACATCACAACTTGGACGATGTGGTCAAGTGTGGTTAAATTTGTTTCGATCAAAACTCGTTAAGATCACAAAAAATAATATTAATTACCTTGTTCTAAAGTCAAAAATCCCAAAATTAGCTGATAGAACGTACTGGAAGAAAATAACACCCAATCAGGGCATCAGGGCTTCTTTTTATTTTTTCGGGGAAGGAAAACAGGATGCATGGAACGCACCCAGGCTAGAGATAGAGAAAGAGTTGCCAGTAGGGGTAGCACTTCAAATGATCATGATACATGAAACATCGGTTTAAATTTGTTTTGATGATCTATCCTGCTTGTCCTTGTTTCTTTCTTAGTCGCCCAGTCCAGTTGATGCCGTAAAGCTGGTACGTGTTGGCACAATTCGTGCTTATTGTTTTCATTCGATATGGTTTGTAAACAAAGAACAGCTGATTTGTACCAGGATTTGTTCTAAGCAACTTGCTGTGCACCTTTGCAGACGTGTAGCGAAATGCAGTTCTCTTAGGACTTCTCGACCATTTGAATTTCATCCTTTATTCAATTATTGAGACATGGTGTGTACGTGGAAGATAGGAGCTGAACTGGTGAAAAATGAATGCGAGGTCGCAGACTTTTGAGCTTGTAAGTTGGCCTATATTTTGTTGGTTATGTTCATTTATTTTTTATGCATTGTCTTGCTCAACAGTTCAGTAAAAACATCTCTTGTTAGTACTTGCTGTCCAGTTTCAACATGTGTTTCATTGTTAATGCTCTTTACGATCATCTACAGCCAGTTAAACCTAGTGCATTGATAGATGTTTATATGACTTGTCAGGCTTGTTACTAATTCTTCAAAGGACAAAAAAATACAGCTTTGATTGATATTGTGTGTACTTTAATACAGACTGTGGAAGGCCGTCAAGTTGATGAAGCGGTTGCCAGTATATTCCATACTGTGCTATTTCATCGATCTCTCGGAAAGTTCCGCTACAAACAAGAGGGCAGCTATTCTGTAGGAACTGTTGGGTATGAGGATGTTGACTGTGATTTCATTGACTTCACCTATGTAAGTAATTTTAGTCAAAATATTTAAATGGTTTGAAATTATTGCAAAGGAATTACAATTTATCATTTTGTCACTCTTTTCAAGGTGTGTTGTTCTTCAGAAAATTTAGACCAAACATTAAAAAGAGAAATTTCTGGCTTCTCAGAAGCATTACGGTGCAATGATGGGCCAGGGTCAGGACAAATTTCTTTGGAATTCTTCCAGAAGAAAAAGAATCGCTGGCCATTTCAGCCAGAATGTATACCATGGGAGGTATGGAATGTTCGTCTTGAGCTTATCAAGCTGACTACTGAACATGGTAGGTGTGACATGATTGGTTGATACATGATTCTGTACTTGAAACATTCAAAGTTTACCCAATTGTCTATTGCTCTGGAACTGAGGCATATTTTTTTCTCCTGGAGTCTGATGACACATTTTCCCCCAATTCTTACTGAACACTTCTGATGTAGAGTAAAATTGTGTAATTATGGCTGTTAGTATTATCACAAAATCTTGCACTGATTGAATGTTTTCTTTGCATCTTTTAGAGAGACAGGTATGCAGAGAGAAGGTTGGTGACATGCTCACTGATAAAATTCTTTATATAGCTGAGATAATGAATAGGCATGAATATGTGCCAAAGATGCCCAATCAGTCAGAATTGGATCTCATCTTTGACACAACTTATCCTGATGTCCAACCGTACCTGTTTAAGGTAAATATTCTTTCATCAGCTTTGAAGTATTAATGGTAAAAAAGTTAATTTTTAAACTGTTTTCTTTTTTTTCTTCTGTAGCTCTCATTTACTACCTCAGGGCCTACAAATACTTCAGTAGGAATGACAATGAAAAAGCTTATCAAGGAGACATTGTCCCTGTGAGAGAAAAGATGAGTGATGTTTTTCACCAAATTGGGATTTGCTCAAAAATCAATTTACTTGAGCCAGTGGCATTGTTACCTGTGATAAAGTTTTTCTCAAGCATGACTTTCATACACTTAATAAGCTGAAAAATTTGTAGTAAAGAATCATTTTAGACCAATTCATTACATGAAAATAATAGTACCAAACTCTGTGCTTAGAGGACTGAAGTGCTTGAGTCAAACATATTAATTGACCAAGAGATGAGTGAGATGCACATGCATGTACTCAATTTGAGTGAAAGACATCGCTCACAAAATAGTTGTAAATAACTTGTAGTGTTTTCTTCCACAGACGATAAAATGTTGAGTAAAAGGACTTTGGATATGTGGACAATCTAACTTAAACTTTCTGTTTCTTCGTAATTGCAGTTTGGTGGTTGGCTCTATTCAATCTTTTGTTTTATTTTATTTTTCTCAATTTACTTTCTGACTTCAGCCACAGCTGCATAAGTAGTTTTGAAGCCATCAAAAATGTTAACGCTAAACTGAAACTCAAACTATAAACTCTTTAAGAATTCTTTATTGTTTCTTTCGTTTCTTCATTTTCCCTCTGTCTGGTGAAAGAACTTTATTTATATGGTAGTCTGCTGTGATTTGTGTCTACTTCAAATTAGTAAAGAGAATAGATGTTATGGACTTTCCTTGTAAAAGTAATGTCTTTCAATTTCTTATCCCATCTTATATTTTTTCCATGTGATTCCTGTACTATTTCCATACTTCATGAAGATGCTTGCTTAATAATTTGCATTCTTGAAATAACAGTAGTTTTAAATCTAGTTGAGACAGGCCCTTAAATTAAAGTAAATTTTACTCTGCTGTCACACATTTTTCAAGAGTAAAATCTTTGAGGGGAAAAAATTGTTTCTTGCCTCAGTTTAACTTTGTTTTATTTATCTATCTATGTATGTATGTACTATGTGTGCTGTTATGAAGTTGTTCCTGTATTTATGTTGAGGAATGTGAAGGGTTGTACCATGTACCATTGTAGCTTATTACTAACTTGGCAGGGTTCCCAAAGCCATATATTGGTGTAATATGCAAAGATTGTGATGATCTTCTGATGTGAGAAATGCGGTTAATCTCTGCTGTGAACAGAGTTGTTTTTATGAAAGAGCCAATTTTATAAAATGTAAGGAACTAAAAATCGATTTGAAAGTGAGCAAGTGATATAGTGTTCAAGGGTTTTGTATTCTTTTTTATGCCAAACAAGAGGTGGTTGTATCATCATAATTTTCCTGCTTGTGGCTCATACAATTAGTCTGTCTTGAACAGTCAAGTGATTTTTACCACATGTTCATAATTTTGTATCATTTTGTATAGTAAGATCTCATGGGACTTATATTAAGACATCTCAGTGTAACTAAAAACAAAAAACAAACAAAAAAGATCAGGAAACAAAAGCTGTCCAGATATTTTCACGGGGTCATGTGATAGGTACTGCTCAGATGATGTTACACAGCAGTAGCATTAGACATTAGAAATTTCCTAACAATGCCTTCATCTACTGCCTGTCACGGTATTAATCGTACTACAAGTGTACATTTAAAAAACAAAATTGTCCTATTACTGACAAATAACCACATTTTAATAATAAATATGCATTGTATCATCTTTTATGGATTTTATTGAAGTGTTTTTGGTGTAAACTTTCTAATTTTGCTTCCTGCTGTGCACTTAGTGTCATTACATAACTACCATATGTTAATGTTTTGTTGTAAAATGATGCTATAAGCAATTTATTGTTTTTGTTTTAAAAAAAAAAACTTCTCTTCAATACGATTTACAGTTCTTATTAAATCCAAGATGGGTATGCTTGTTGTTGTTTCATGTTTTGTTGTGCGGAGCATTATGTAAGGGGAAGAATATTGAAAGATTGTTTTTGTTTCATTAGAGAAAAGAAGAAACATTTTAATAAAGAGATTGGTCACATCTTAATCCTCCTTGTTGGTTTTGTAGAAATGAGACGGCTCCGATTGTCCGAAGCTCGTTTGTCCGAACCTAATTTATCTATTTT